CAGACACAGAATACCTAGCTACATTTCCACCAACCTTAAAACAATACATATAATACATTAAAAATTAAAAAATATACAACTAACATACATTAAATGTGTAGACTTTTTCACAAATATTGTTAAGTTTTTTAAATGTTAATACCCTGTTTATAGGTGCACAGACACAATTAACCACGGCTCTAAGAGCTGCTCTTTGTACATCTGCATCTGCAATTATCTCACACTCTGCAGCAGCTAAAAGAAGATTAATTGCCATTGTCATTGACATATCTGGCATATCAACTCTTTCACAAAGTAATAGCATTACTTTAGGAACTACAGAACAGATTGCAACTACATCTAAACAAGACCGAACTGTTTCTGCACTTGAAGTTGAATGAACTCTAAAGAAAGAATAATTCATTAATAATCAGTAAATGTTTATTGACGAAATATTTAGTTATGAAATATTAACACTTACCGTCCACTATAGTTCCATTCTCGAGCAAATGCTATGATTTGTAATAAAAGTGTAATGCCTCCTAAACGATGAAGTTCTTCTACTGGTGGCCATCCAACTCTTATTGACATTAACTCTTGCAAAACTTCCAATTTAGCTTGCACTTCTTCACTAGTTAATTTACAAGCCTAAAGGAATTAATATTTGAAAAAATAGTGTTCAATAAAAAATATAAGAATTATATTACAATTTTATGTAAGAGTGAATTAATATTTGTAAATTTTATACATGTATATATAAGTATATATTTATGTATATATTATTAAAAAATATATATATAATACTTAAATATATTCTTCAAACAATATCATAATGGTAATTTAATAAATATATCACCTTATATGGAGGTAAAGATGGTTGCCAAGTATCTCGTTCTGTTCTTACATTTTCCACTCTTTGCAATTGTTCAGCTTTTAAATGTAAATGTGCTTCCATGTACCGCTTTAATGCAACAGCTACGTGCCTAACAATTTGACGTGATGCACATTCTTCATCATCATTTAAAGATATTTCTTCTTCAACATTTAAAATGGGTAAAGTTGATATCTATAATACAAATCTTGTTTTAGTATACAAAATATTTGTATTATGATTATAAAATACAATGATATAATAAAAACTTACTACGTTAAATAATTTCCTCAAACCATCTTGCGCATCGAATTCTTCAAGTATAACTTTAAATGGAAAAGAAAAACCAAAAAACATTGTTGCATGACAGCGTCCTGAATCATGACTTCTTTCTAACAGCCAAAGAGCATATGTGACCAGGTCAGAAATTATGTGTTTTGGTAACAAACAAACTCTTTCCATCGCATCTTCACAATATGCTAAATAATAAAGACATATTGATACACCTGTTGCAGCAACACTTGGTCTTGGGACATCTAGCAATTTTTGCAATCCTCCAACATTTAAAAATTCAATTGAAAATTTTTTATGACACAATAATGACGCCAAATATTTTAATGCTTCGAATGCAAGTCGGCTATCTTTTGTCTCACGAACATTTATATATTTCAATATTAAATCAAGTGCATTCTGTTCAAAGACATGGCCTAAAAATTCTTGATATTCTCCCATTGGTGTAAGATATCTTAAAACGAGCATTTGACGCGTAGCTAAGGTTGGTGGATGCATTTGAATATTACCAATAACATAAGATTCCATTTCTGCCCAAGATGAATTAGAATTACCTTCTAATAACATAGAAGGTGTAATAATTAGCTGAGATGAATTTGTAGGCTTTTGTAAAGAAGGTTTAAAAGACTTTATATTTGTTGAACGTGTACTTTGTTGTCCACTTTGTTTGCTTAATGATGTTATTGGTAAATTTGAACAATTATTAGTCACTTTAGGAATAGTTGGTGGAGGAGACATAATATCTAGATATGAACTATCCATATTTTTTATAGGTGAAATAATTTCATCTCCAAAATCGTTTTTCAATTTTTTAGCAGGTGGAATTTCACTAGACTGGAGAAGTTGGTCGCTTTCTTCATCAGAAAAATTTAAATCTTGTGATGAATTTTTCAGAATTCCATTTTCTTTTTTTTCGCGAACTTTTCGTTTTCCAGGAACCCCTTTATTTTCGGAATCACTCTTATCACTTGTATTTTTAGCAAAATGTGCAAATGGGCGTGCATTAGATGCTAGCTGCCTATCTGTTTGAGCTTTTTCTTGTAACTTATGTAATCGTTGTAACATTAATGGTACCATTTTACCATTTTGTTCTCTAAATCCAGTAGCAATATCTTGTACCTCCATTGCAGCAGCTAAAAGACCAGTTGCATAACTTTGTAGTGGCTCTATGCTCTTTTCTGCCCAAGAAAATAATCTGTGTATAAGGCCCTCCATATCCGGTTGAAATACTGCTGAAGTTTCTAACCCTGGGAGTATATCTAGCATTAGACGACAAGCAGCAATATTCAATCTCCGAACATCTCGGCCCGTGACACCAGCGCGCGACCAATAAGTATCTCTTAGGTAGTCATTTATTAGCTATATTGAAAACGAAATAAATAATGCATTAATATAGTATTGAATAAGTTATTAAAGAATAATTTTGGAAAATATATTCGGTTAAAAATTAAATAACATTATAAATTTTTAAATTATAGTATTTATAATTCTACACATATTGCACATGTCTTATCTACCTTTGTCATAAAATTATCTTTCCTAAAAAGAACTTTAAGAATGTGTCCAAAACTACATTCTGGATCAGTACGTGATGGGTGTCTTTCATCAAAAGGATCTGGATCCATTTTTAGGTAATTTTCTGTCTCAAGCTCTATAATCTCAGCTAACCTTTGAAGTGTTGGAATAGGATCATACGTAGATGATAAATGTTCTTCTTCCCATTGTCGTAAAATTTGTACAACATCCGTTACTTCAGTGAAAGGTTCTGCACTTGCCATTTTTTAAATCTATATGTAAAAATAATATCTGATATAATATAATAAAAATATAAAAATAATAGTTTTATAATTATCACTAATGTATCTTAATTAAAATAGTATAAGTTTTATTTTAAATATGACAATTTTAAATATGATTTACAAAAAATGCAATTATTATTAACAAAAAATAAATTTAAGTATTAATAATTAAAATTAAACATATATGTAATATATTGGTAAAAATAAAATTAAATATAAATTTTGAAAAAATAAAAATATCGAGTAAATTATCATATCCTTAAATATTAATTATGACAAATATCATTGTTGCAATTGACAATAAGTTATTACCGCAGATCAAAATAACCTGATGAAAAACTTCATACACGTTAGGAACACGCAATTAATATTATATATAAAATAGACGTTATATTATAGGAAATAAATTAATTGATATCTAAAAATGAAATACCGATTTTAAAATAAGAAGTTTAAGCAGTTAACAACAACAAAAAGAAGCCGTATGTACAAATATATAGCGCATGCCTTCTTATAGGTTATAACTCATTACCAAGTATCTTCCATTCGACTGTATTGTGTCGACACTCCGCGGTGTATATTAGAACTAGTGTTTTTTAATTTAGTAAGTTTACCATTCAATGGACTTACAATTAGTAATTATAATATTTTCATTATGGCAGCACTTGTCTAGAAATTATTTGATTAAAAATGTTTTCAAAATATTTACAATTTTATTAATTTATCCAACTTTTTGATAATGAATGTTTATAATTTATAATAATTTCATTTTACGTTTAGAAAATTTCTGTCCTATTTGTTGTATCAATTGTATAACGAACTTTATTGGTTGAATATTGTTATAAGATAAAATCTGAAAACTTAAATATGAATTTGTTAAAATATCAAAGAACAAAACAATTCAGTTTCAAGTAATATAGAATGAATACAGAAAGTATTTTTACTTAACTTAACCAATTAGTATATTTGACTATTCTATATATGCAACATTTCTCGTTTTATGTTTCGATATCAGTATTGTCAATTGCTTACATTAGTATTCTTTAAAAAAAGGCGGGATTTTTTGAATTGAGTCTAACAAGAATATTTAAAAATAAAATATATCTATGTATTTGTAGGAAAATTAAATAAAAGAAATTAATAAAATAGTTCCTTATTGTACATCGATAAAAAAACATTTAGAGTAATAATTAATTGATAACTTAATTGCAAGAATAAAGCTATATAGCGTTATTAACTTATAACTTTTGATTAATGAACCGGATTAATATAAAAAAAGAATATAATATAGTTTAATTTGTGCAATATAATTCCTTAAACAAAATATTATGTTGACAACCAAATAAATAGAATAATTACATTTAAAAATCTGACAATGTCACATTTCAATAATATGCTGATCAAGCAATTTGGCAACGCTGCGGAATTGGTGCTTCATTCAAATCTATATTCAAATATAAATTACGTATTTTAAATCTTAAAATAAATCGCTAAAAATTCAACATAAAAAGAATTTTTTTACTTAACATGACTAAATGAATAGATCACAATTACTTGAATAAATGTAACTAATTAAATATGACTTACAATATTATATCGTGTAAAACTTATTATTTTACTGAGATCTAAATATTTTTTGATAGACATTACTATTTACGTACATACTGTACAAAATATTTATTTTAACAAGATGATAGGAAAACTTTTATTTTCTATACATACGTATTTATAACGATGAGTCAAACTTCTTAGTAATTTCGATATAAGTATTGCACATTAATCTTCTAATTGTATTTCCACAATAATTTAATGTGATGACCTAATTAACAGTGATAATCATATATCTAAATTGAATCAAACTTTCTAATAAAGAGATTCTTTTATGTGTTTACGAAAATAATGTCATCAATATATATATTGTTATTGCGCAAATAAAATATGAGTCAACAATAACTGACAATTTCATGTATCTTTATTTGTATTACTGTAATATACTATTCGGATTTTCTAGCTTATATTAAATTTATTATATAGGAATAAATAGTATATAGACATAAACATCAATGTCAAAATAATATGTATTTGATCATTAAGAATAATATATTTATCATAGAATAACAAACACTGTAAACTTTATTTTATGAATTTCTAAGTTATTAAAGGCCATATTTAGAAATATATTTTATGTGAAAAATCGTTTACTGAAATATAATGATAGTAACAAAATTATAAATCTAGTATAAACATGTTAAATGACATCATATATACTATTCTAAATATGGCCACACATTTTTATTATACTTATTGTATATGTGCATTAAATTAAAATTATATTGCATAAAAGATAGAAATTAAACTTCACCATTCAAGAGTTTCTTATCAAATAAGAACTCTCCAAGAGGACCATTATTTACGATCATTCTACCTAATGTGGAGATTTTCCCAGCAAGATCACGTTCTCCTTTATATTGTTCTTCCAAGAATTCTCCGGAGAGATAGTCAACCAACTATAATAATATAATAATTAAAGAATAACTCTCAGTATAATTGACAATTCAATTGTTCTAAACAAATATATTATTTTATTATATGTTCAAACATTTGTTAGAAATTATACTTACATGATAATCATTAGCATTTATGTTAGATGGATTTTCACAAGCTAAAATGATACTTCGAATGCTACGAGTAACATTGGATTCTAAGGTAAGAGCATGGTTAAGTGCATCCAATCCTGTAGCCCATTCTTCTTGCACTGGACTCTAAAAATTGATTTTAATTAAAAAATAATAAACTATCAAATTTGAATGTGTGTGTAAACAGTTTCTTTAAATAAATTTATATAGCATACCATTTTTATCAATGGGAATTCCAAAATATCGTTAATACCATTTACAAGTTGGCCACGCATTAACAAATATTCTATAATTTTTATTGCATGTTCTCTTTCTTCGCTAGCATTTTCAAAGAAAAATTTACTAAATCCAGGACGATTTTGAGAATCACGTGCGAAATGTGCAGCCTAAAAAATTATTTACAAATTTTGTTTATATCTATTTACTTTAAAGTAATGAAAAAAAAAATATTTAGAATTTTATGATTTCTACTTCTCAAATTTTCAATAAATCAAATACCATTGCAAGATAGGTCAAAGAAGCTTCGACTTCCATTTTTATTTGAGCTGTCAAATTTTTGATGCATGCACTGTCCATGTCGATCCATTTTTTTGTTATATTTGCCGAACCAATTGTACCTGAAATTTAATATTCATAAACATTTATATTACTTTAAATCCTTCTAAAAATTTAAAAATATATTAAATATATTTTTTTATTGATAAAATTAAACATGAGCATGTCTTGTCAATAAAAAAAAAAATCTATATCTATGATAACGAGTCTCCAACTCTAACAAAATAAGCTTCCCATCGCATAGTTCAAATGGCATGCTCTATTTCTTTTACATTTCAAATAGGATATAAAACCTATTATAACAGTATAGAAAATAATGTACAATTTATCGAAGCGAATACATTTCTATTATGCTTATTTAAGTTGAACAAGTGCATAAATCAAGAAGTTATGAAATAAAGAAAACTGATAATAGTATATATATATATAGTTTACTATTAACAATACAATTATTATATAAAAGCAATATAAATTCAATCCAACCAATCCAATAAAATCAATAATTAAAAAAATACTTTATTAATTTTTATAAATTTTTTATAATTGTTATATTATATAGTATGACTCTCTTGTATTAATTTGTGCAAATTACAACTTATACCGTCATTGTACAAAACCAAAAATAAATCTAAAGCTTAATAATATGAATTTAAATAGTATATGCATATTAACAACTATGCAATTATATTATCTTTTTAAATGTATCAAGTTGCAGTAGATCAGAATGAGAACGATCAAAAAAGAAGAAATGGACTTTGAAATGTGGTTTAATCAACGCATGTTCATCGTCACGCACTTCTTATCAAACAAAGTACTGATGTTGTACAAACAAGATGATCTACAATATTGGCAGCTTTTATAAATATATTAAAAGGATAGATATTGTCGCCATTAATTAACTCTTAACTTAAATATTGTTACTTAATTATAAAGTATATTTATTGTATATTTTATTACAGTGTAAATTTAAATATATTTATTAACAAATAAGTAATTACAGAAAGACTAATAGAAAAAAATTAAAAAATATATATAAGATATACACAGAACTAAAATTTGAATAAAAGTTTAATAGAGTAAGCAAATGAATTCAATAAATGAAATTTACCTTTATTATTTTCATTTGTGCATATTTTATAAATTATTTTTTTTTATTGTGCCACAGTAGCTTAAAATCACGTTCTATAGATAAATGATAAAATTGAGTGCTCATATCAAGAAAAAGATTAAAAGATAAAAGTAATATAAATGATAAAACTCGATGATATATTTTTCTTTTAATCATAGATACAAAAACAACGTCATTATGATTTTAATAAATATGCTATTAAATATTATATATGAATATAACTACTATTCTACATTAAATCTCATAACTCAAAAAATATTTTTTAACTAACACTATATATTATTAATGTAGTTTAATCGGATAAAAATACTTCTGATAACAGTTTTATTTAGCATGAGTAATGACAGTTCAAAGAACATCTTAAGACCCAGATAAATTATGATTAATTTTTTCAAACTATCTTTCAAGGAAAATAGTTCATTAGATCTTAACTATTTTATCATAATAGCCTTTTTTTGTTATAAATAGATGTTGAAATTTTTAATCATTAATTTATACACATTAAGAATGTATTACTGTTATATTATTATTACATTTTATTTTCTCTAATATAAAAAATATATTATAATTAAGATCATTTATATATGCAACAATGTATAAATTAAAAAAATAGAACATTAAGTAGTTTTAAATTAATGCGTATAATTTAAAAATAATCTAACAATATAATTAACTGCTGACACTAAATCAAATAAACTACGTCGAAAATTTATTTCCTCTTGTTTACTGAGAATCATATTGTAGATATTGAGTTCAAATGATTAATAATTTCCAAATATTATTATGATTTTTATTAGTCATCACAAAATATTTCTATATGCCAAACAATTGTTTCATTTTCAAATTAATAAAGTACACAATGTAAAATATCAGTTACAAAATAAAAAATATTTACGATGATTTACATTAGAGATAATGCGAAAATAATAATAATAATAAGTAAATTTATACAGTATTAATAAAAAAAGGAACGTGGAATAGATAATTGAATGGTAGAAAAAGAAAGACAGAGGGAAACAGTAAAAGAAAGAAAGAAAGAGAAAGAGAACTAAACGAACTAAAGAGAAATAAAGAGTCGGTAAATTTTGTAAATAAAAAAAACTTACATCGATATTCATTTTTGGTAGAAGCAAGAGAGCAAATTGATGCAAAAAGGAGAACACAAAGAAGCTTCATCATCTTTTACTTCACACTGTAAGGTTATAGTGCGTAAATTGAAAGAAGGGGAACTGTTGCCGATCTCTTTCGGAAACAACCTTTATACACACTGGTATAGAAGGCTGTATTCGATCAGTTTAAGACTACAAAATGTTTACGAACTAAACGCGACAAGTAACCATTGATCATCTAATAATCAGTACGTAAATGTGTAACATTCACAACTCTCAAGTAATACAAAGACACACCGGAATTACTGGAAATTTTACTTTTCTTGTTAACATTGAGCAACTGCGCATGCGTAATTACGTATCAGCTGACTATTTCTACATGAATACCCTTTACTACGTTCCACATCCTCCTACTTCAGAGTCCAATGTTCACTTAAGTTAATCTGTATTTCATTATTGTTGAGAGAACATCGAAGCGAGAGTATTCACGTTCTAACCAACAGTACATCAACATCACTTAAAGAAATATTTGATAAGGTATCATACGCTTTTTTACTATACTGATAGAAAGATAAGTATTTTCTCGATATTTCTTTTCTATCCAATCTGATTTTTATAGTAATGGCGAGTAAAATTGGTTCGTCATTGATCCAAATTTCTATATAAATAACATTTATTGTACTGCGTAATTTCTATACGATAACGCAATACGAAAATATATTAGTGTTCGGTAAGAATAGCAACAATGAATTGACAGCGTATATTATTACAATTTATCAATCCAATTTTACTTGATTCATTCTTATAAAAGTATGTTTTTGCGACATGACACTGCTTTGTTTAGGATGTTACAGTTCATTGCCGGATGATTGCTTTATATTCAAATTATTTCCAAATATTTTGGTAGAAATTGAAAAAGTCAAAATATATCTTATTACTTATACACATTGGTTTAGTATCAATTTAGAACATATATATATATATTATGTTAAAAGTTTGTTATATTATGTTGAATTATAATATATAAATAATATATGCATGATTGTTTTGAATTATAAACTTTTATATTTGTTTTCTTTAGCAAACATGTTTCTACTAGGATTATTGTGCGCCTTCTTTATCGCTGTCTCAGCGGAAGATATGGAGTCTTGTTACGAAAAATCTAAAAAAGCTTGTAATTCTTTAGATTTTGTAGATAGTAAGTTATATTTTATCGAAAAACAAAAATATAATAAATAATTGAGTTATCATATTGTGTTTTTAATTGTTAATATTATTAATTATTATACTTTTAGAAAAAGCATTGTTCACAAATTGTAATGCTGTATATGGAAATATCATGGAATTGCAGACTGAACTCCAAGCATACGCAAATGCTCATATTGAATCCAGTTTTGAATTATTGTTAATGTCAACTCATTTTGGAAATTATGAAGCTAATCGAGATGGTTTTAAGGGATTATATCGTAAACTTTCAGACAAAACATGGGAAGATGCTATTAATATAATTAAATTTATTACCAAAAGAGGTGGTAAAATGAATTTCAATCAACTGCCAAGAATTAAGGGAAATGCACAAGTTAAAAGTAAAAAAATACTCCAGTTTAATGAAATTCATAGTTTATCGAAAGCACTTGATATTGAGAAACAACTTGCCGAAGAAGCTTTATATATTCATTCAAGAGCACATCACTCCAAGCAAGATGCTTCTGTAGCTCATTATTTAGAAGAACAATTCATGGAGCCCCAAGCTGATTCTGTGCGTCAATTAGCTGGACATATATCTGATCTTAAGAAATTATTAACAGATCACGATGCTTCTGTTTCTGTATTCTTGTTTGATGAATACCTTAAAAAAATTCTGTAAATTTTATAAATCATAAATAATGCACTTATTAATATTAGTGCCTTTCCTTTATTCAATCTTTATTTTTTTAATGATTTGTGTTATATATAATTAGAAATAATAAATATGAAAAAACAGCTTTTTCTTTAAAAAATGTGAAATATTACTTATATACATAAATGCATACGAATATATATAGAGAATAAATAAGAAGTAAGTTTTGTTTATCTTTTTTATATATCTGTATAATTATACTTTTAAAGTATTCAATAAAAGTTAGTTTTAAAACAAATGATAAACAATCTATATTTGCTGCAGATTTTTTTTTTTTATTTCACAATTCGACATATGTACTACACAAAAATACTTGTTACTATCCATCTTTTTGTTATTGTATTTTTTATTAATCTGCACATAAGTAATATAGCTATTTTTATCTGACTATGCTTACACAAAAATTTCTCTTTATATAATATAATGCTTTCTTTTGATATATAAATATAAGGCAATGTAATGTAGATCATTAATCAGAAAAAATGCACATTGAAAGTATTGCGGAAATACTATTTGAATATATATTTTTTATATATCTATAGGTATTATGTGAGTATATTATCAAAATAAATGCAATAGTATTATTTGTAATAATAAAATTAGAGAGAAATTATTAATAAAATTTATGGTAGTAACAAGATACTAAAGATTATTTATTGTGCAAAGATATGTATCACTTTTTTTTATTAAAGTTAATTTTATTTTTTTAATTAGTAAATGCTATTTCATAGAATTGTATATTTATCCACTGATTATAAAATGAATTAATAAATCAATACTATAAAATATTATTTCTGATATCAATAAAAAATCAAGTTCAACATTCTATAGTTATTAAGAACATCTTAAATAAGATGTTACTTATTTAATTCATTATTCAAATAAAATCAGTAAATAATAAAATTTATTTTTATCACTCTCGTTATTTAAAAAAATGTTATTGTTCGTGGTTTTATTTAACCACAATGTACACACAGAGCCACTCATCAAATATATGTACATGTGAAACACTCAAATATTGTAGACAATTTATTAAGGTCTACTCAACTTTTTCTTTTGGTTCACGATGTTGCCTAAAAAATAAATAATATAATTAAATTAAATATTACATTAATAATTAAATAATAAAAACATGTGGAAAGAGATAACTATTTACATTTACAGAAAAATTTGTAATTTGAATGTGTACTAAAAGTGCAGCAAGTTCTAAATCTTCACTATAGTTGTTTTTTAATGTAACACTTCTATATCCTGTTCTTAAACAACGGACCTAAAATATAATTAATAAAACAAATTAATTTTTTAAAAGAATAAGACTAAATGTTGTTAATATAAATAAATAAGTGTATATAATATAAATAAATACATACAGGATAAGTAGCTTGCCCTATGAAATTACTATCACCAAACATATCTTCATCTTGTACTACAAATCTTATGAGAGCAAAATATGGATTGAATATCTCAAATTCACAAGACTCATTCCACATGGGATTAAAACCATTGTCGTCTGAAGAAATTAAATACTCAGATGTTAAAACAGAAATTTTAATATAATTAGAAAATATAAGTAGTATTTTTTAATTTTTTTTTCCATACTAATACATACGTATCGTTTTTGTTGTTATCTTTGTTCCATTATCAAAATCTGCACCAATCACTTCTACTTCAACAAACGGACTAGCTGTTCCTCTTCCAGATCTAATCAAGTGTCTTGCACCTATAATTTTTAAGCTAATTTTAAGTGCATCTATTCCATACAAGCAATTTTTGTCATAAGGATTAAAATCATCTCTGAACATAAAATCTGGTTTGAGGACATAACCACAGCTACCATTTTCTTTAAATTTAGCTTGATTTAATTGCATAGATTTATCTCCAGTTTGGTAATTTAAGGCTACCATTTGACAACCAGAATTCCACATTGGCACAGGATTGTAATTAGATGAATCAATACGTTGTCCTTTAGGATATACTCTACTAAATTGCACCTACAATTTAAATTCATAATATTCATATATTAACATAAAATTACTTTTATAATAAGAAAAAGTTTATACTTTATTAACTTATTATTACCTGATGATATTTTAAAAAAAACTTATTTTCTTGCTGGCACATGAGTTTTTCTGCTTTAGTTTCAGGAAAACTACTCATTTCATGAAATATAAATCCCTTTGCTCTAATTCGTTCAACATTAAAAGCCACCGACCTACAATATACTATAAGGTTAGACATTTCTTTTGCTATTCTCCATGCTCGCTCCATCTCTTTGTGTTGATTTTCCTATAAAAATGGAAGACAGTATAAAAAAGTTAAGAAAATTTAGGGATAGTGACTAAAATCAAATTTGAATAAACATAAATAGTTTAATTACTCTAACACTGGCGTTTTGTGCTGTTTCTTTGATACTTGACATCCATTCTAGTGCACTCTCTTTTAACGGTGTTGCTACTTCAAATACAGAACACATACTGGGATTTTGTATTCTTAAAATCCATTCCAATCCAGGTCTTTCGCCTAATGTTAATTCAACAACAGCACCCATAATGTCTAATGAACCTTTTTGAAGACTACCAAGCATCATAGAATCTGTAGACTGAAATTGATATTATAAAATTATATTGTGTATTGAATAATTATATTACTTACATCTCCTTGACTATCTTGATAATCTATTTCTTCAACATAATTTGCTGGAAACCAATGTTGCTTTTTACCACCATAATCGCCTCTCCACCACCCACCACTTTGTCGTGTTACATTAGTAATTATAGCATGTTTTACCAATGTCAATTCATCTTCTCTTCTTGCTTTATAATCATAAAGAGCTTTTACTGTTACCTATTTATGAAATATAGCATTTATATCATTGTAATTATTATGAAAATATATATAACTTTAAATAATAATTACCTGTATTGTAAAATATAACTTACTTTAGATCCAAAACTTGTTGGGTCCATGTATCCAGGTATACCATAAACAGATCCATCATCTGCATCCTTTAAAAAAATTGTTCTTGTAATTATTAATAACATTAATACAAACTTGATTCTTTTCAAAATATCGTATTTAATAAAAACATGACCTAATCCATATTTTTGTTTATATATAAACTTTTAATTTTTTGTAATTATACATACTAGCAAAAGTTTTTAGTCTGTCACATACCAAACCCACTCTTCTGATGATATCTTGATTGACAGGATGACTTAACTTTATTCTCTTATAGAGTGGATTCCTTTCATAGTAATTTACTAATTCAACTAAACTTTCAAATTGCACTGTTCCTATTGTATATAAACGTCCTTCAAATTTTATTCTACAATGTTTAATTTTTTTTTCAGCCCTATTAAATAAAATATAGCAGATTTTTAATTATTTATTTACTTTATATATATATTCAAATAAATTATTATATTTGCATACCTGAAAGATATAGCATAAGAATTACTTTCTTTTTCACTAGGTCTCACTAAAAATGCACCATCAGTGGGAATACGTTTTAACATTTCTTCTGCTAAAGTGCGAGTACATTCTGCATGCCACCATTCTTTTTCCTCATGCTTATTTGGTTGAGGTACAGGTTCTTGAAGCGTAATTAAAAATTCCTATATATTAAATAAATATATATTAATTCCTATTTCAAAAGAAAAATATAAATAACTTACGTTACTTTATTTTGAGTGCAATTACCTGACTTCTAAGGGGATGATTGCGATAACGTGTTATTAGACTATACAAACTATCAAAGCAATTTGTATCAATTAAATAATATTGTGTTTGACCCATTTCTTGTTTTAATTTAATACGACAATGGTTAACCTTGCCTTTACGCCAAAAGGAAAGACTATAATCACCAACAAATGTAACGCATTGACGAACTAAGAAGGTACCATCGCCAAGATGAGAGTATCGTTGTAATAATTCTTCAGCTTCTTCTCTGCCTCTTGCCAATTTTCCATGAAACCACTTCTCACCGAAATGTAGCTCATCATTTGGAACTCCCTTTAAAACAAATGTATCATATATTTTGTTGATGGTTGAAATATGTGATAGGTTTTTTAAATAATGAATTTATAAATATAATAATATTAAAAATGTACGTACATCTGTTGGTCTTCGAATACATCCTTCATCATCATCATCATGTTCTGTCTCTTGAGTTCTTGAAAATGTATCTGTATAAAATAGCTTTTGCTGTGTTAATACAAAAAAATGTGGATTCCATTCTCTATCAACAGGATCTTCTAAGTATAATATTCCATTTTTTACAGTATTTCTAAGATCCATTTCTTGTCTACTTTCATCATTACGAATAAGAAATGATGCTTCATCAGCTCCATCAGGAAGTTTTTTATGTTTTAATAATATTTTCTTTCTTAATGCATACGGAGATGGTAAACAAGTTTCATTTTTATCTACTGATTGAACTAATAACATATTTCCAAACAATTCTTGCATTGTAGTTGCCATTTTTCTTTGTTGTGGCAATGTACAATTATCTTCTATAGATAAAATAACAGGATATCTACAAAAAGATATATATATATATATATATATGTAATAAATAAATAAGTATATCAATTTATACACGAGAGCATATATATAAGGATGCAAATAGTATATGTATATCATGTAAGATAGCTATATAATTTTTTTAAAATAATACATACTCAGATGTAGCAAAAGCATGTTCTTTTATAGTTTTAATAACATCTAGAAATTTTATTTTCGTTGTTAATGTATGTCCATGAAATATGAAAGGCATTCCATCAGGGCCATCCCAACAATCAAGTTCTATACATCTGCAGCCAGTTCTTAATGCACGTACATAAGCTTGGCAACTACTTTCACTACTTATTTGATCACCCATCAAATATCTGAAAGAATTTATTTTATATATTACCAATATTTAATAACGAGTAAAAGTTTACAATGTTTATTATAATATTAAATGCAATACATTAATAAATGTATTACAATATCTAAAAACGAATAAAGATTATTAAATATAATATTGGATAGAATAAAAAATATATTATTGTAATTATATACAACTTCTTACGTGTTGTGTGATGAGGCAATCCAGTAATGTGCTAAAGGCTTCGTCATATCTTGTGTCACTTCATTATATCGTTGGTCCGAAATATCATTTTGTTTGGAAAAAAGAAAATCTATAAATTCAGAAAATGTGAAATATGGTTCTTGTATATCTCTTTGTGGATCTTGAAGATAGTCTCTAATAAAACGTGAAGCTTCTATATCGTTGTTTCCTAAAGCATCTTGTTGTTCGGTGATTAAAAAGTTTTGAAATTCTTGAAGAGTAACAATCTGTCCTGACTTAGAATAATTCAATAACTTATTCCAATCTGCTAGATTCTGTTAAAAAATATAATTATACATTACTATGTATTATGAATAATATGATAACACATTTACAATAATATTTTGAAATAAATAACTTACATTCTGATCAAACATAAGTTTATGATACAGAATAACGAAGTCATCAAACCCAAGTTCATTCCTGTTTCTTGTATCAACTTCTTGAAATAATTCTCTTAGGCGATTAGTTGCAATTTTGCAATTAACTCTAGGTAAAAATGCTTTAACATCCTTTAATGTAACTCTGTCAAATTAATTTTATTATCAGTTTTTGCGATCAAAGTTAAATATTAGTTTCAATTATAGAAAATAATGACAATCTAGGTATAAATTTTCTTACGTTTCTCTTGAATTTTCCATTGCATAAAATTCTTTCCTAAGCCACCTTTCAACTTGTAAAGGATATGGGGCATTAATAGTATCTTGCACTAAATGACGTAAACCTTTAACCCATAACTCGCATTCTTTTTCGCTTAGAGCTAAAATATATATTAATTATAAATGAATGAATCACAGAAAAATCAATACAATTCTAATGTGATATATATAAATAGAAGTATTTTATATTTACCTGATATTGAAAGAGTTTTTAACCTGAATTCAGATCCATAGAATACAACAAAACATCTCAAGCTTTCTATTCTCTTTGCATCTTCTGGCCATTTTTCAAAATCTTTGGAATGCTTGCCTACTCTAACTTCTTTTACTTCTCTGATTTCAACTAAAAAAAGATGATATATAAATATATATATATATATAAAAAAATTTATATATTTTTTACTTAGAGATATTAAAACTCCAATATAATATTGTTTGAATATACTATCCAAATATTTATGCAGTATTATGATATATAATTTTTATTGTGCTATAGTACCTCTAATATTCAATATTCTATTCTATATATCAACAGTAGTAATGGGCACAATTGTTGATAGACCAAAACTGAAGGAGAAGTTGCAATAATGGCAAGATAAAATAAGAATGTGAATGTAATTATTTATTTTTAAATCATTTGAGATTTAATATTTTATACCTACCACCTCTATATGAATAAAATAAAAACTCTCTCTCTCTATATATATATTTGTATAATTAATTATAAGTCAATAAAAAATTTGAATAATTTTAAATAGAACAGATATTAACATAAATAACAAATATAAATATGTACATTCATCTGCAAAGTTAATTATATCTTTCTGGATGAGATCCAACAATTGATATGGATTTTATCTTTATCATAAACTCACCCATATACAAAATGGACACTGATTTTGCCTTCTGGTTTTTGGCCTATAACTAGTATCTTCAGATAATATTCTGCCCATTTTTGCTGTAGATATATAACTGCATAACCATGTATAAAGTGTGCCTAAAATATTACGTGGAAAATTTATTTTTTGGGTGCTTTTGAATGTGAATCTATAAGGAACAGTTTTTTAGTGTAAAATAACCCATCATAGACAAATATTTTATCTTTCCTATAATAAAATATAAGTATGTGATATTAATTTTAAACATTAATTAGAAACTTAAAACTTCTTACCGGAACCATCAAAAGGTCTAAAGGTAGAACTCCTCGACCAAACAATCTGTCTAGTTTCTCTTCGTATCATTAAGGTTTTCTTTTCTGGTCGCTTTCTTGAGAAAAATTTTGTTACCACAGTCCCACGTTCAAGCTGACTAATTATTTGTTCCATTTCAGGAATAATCCCATTCATTTTTGATGTAATAAACTGCTACTGTAATTATTATTTTATATTCTTATATATTATTTGAATTTATTATAATATAAAATTTCTTATTATAATTTATTAACAAATGACCTGGCCAAAATTTCGTACAATTGAAGTTCTCTAGCTCGTAAATATATAAACATACTATTAATATAATAGTAAGATTTAAGTTATTGAAGAAATAACTCTGTATTGAATTTAAGAGTATATTGAACAAAAACATATGTCATATTTATATTGAATTATTTTTAAATACTTGCGGTATCTATATATAAAAGTTTTATTCTTCTATTAAAAGTTGTATAGTAATTAGACATTTATTTATAACAATATTTATGATATTTAAAATCTAAGAGAACCACCGTTTTTACGATTAAATGTTGAACTAATTTAGAAAACGTGTACTGGTTGCTTGACTATTCCATTCATAAAATATATCCAGTGATGTATACAAATATAATTGTGCCAGTGTATTTTGAAGTATATAAAAATAAATTGTTTCTTCTTTTTTTGCTATTTAAATAATTTTTACGTAAATAAATTCTAATATAATAAGTATAAAAAAAACATTGAACACATTATTTTTTATATAGTTCCTTTATCTATATATATATCGAGGAACATACATATGTATGGTTAGCTTACAGCATTGGCATAATGTTTTCATTTCTGATTTCACTTCTATATGAAATATATATCTTTCATTTAAAAATAATAAATATTAAATTTGATAAAATCTTAAAAAATCTTAAGATATTACTAATTGTAATTTTATTGCAAATAAATTTGTGGCCATTACTTTTACTTTATTAATAATAAAACTATATGACATAAACATAACCTAAACAAAATACGAAAGCATTCTCAGTTGAACAATAAAATATTGGATAAAAATGAATGGTTTATCATCTATTAAAAAGATCTATATAAAAAAAGCAATACATATATTTATATATTTTTATATATGTTTATATATCATCTACATAAACATATAATACATATATATAAAAACATCGATTGTCTATGGTATATAATTTCCTACAGAAGTTATATATATATATTGTTTGAAAGCACTTATTGTTTTCTTATTTTCATTTGTTTAATTGTTCCTGCATTGTATCATAAATATTTAAAAATTAATCATACCTGTTCTTAATATGAAACGCCGCTGTTAATAACTCAAGAAAGACGATTTCATTCGCATGTGTAAGCATTAATAACTATATACATTTATATAAATTTTTTAAACTTTCATAGAGCAATATACGTGACTATATACACATAACAAATACAGTGGAAACGCCCGAAATTTATATATTTTAATATTGCAAAAGCATCATTTTGAAAGACTAAATACTTATTTCTTCGTAATTCGATTTTATAAATTTACTTTCTCAATGGTGTTCAAACTTTTCACTCAACCTCCCTAGAATAAACCAATGTGCATTCTATATAATATCGAGGTGCAAAACACTAGGAATATCTACCATGTTATTATACGTTACAATTTTGATGCGTCTATTTTGATTAATAATATTTAAATATTTCAATTATTACATTCGCTTATCAATAACTAAATAAAGATATTACCAATAACAATCATATCATTTGAAATTGCTGTTGTTGATGCATTATATTATGGAAATATTGGAAATATTAAATTATTCCGTATTATAATTTTTAATAGTTTGATAAATGATCAAAATCATTCTGATATTAGTAATTTAGATATTTCAATTTAGTTATGTGCCATTTGAGATACCAAATTATTAAATTCGTGATACAAAATTGGCAGTTTTATATTCGATTTACCAATAAAAAGTATGAATTACATAAAAATAAGTATTAATTATTGGAGACAAAAAATAACAATATATAATTAAAGATTTTTAAATATTATATCTAACAAATTAATAGTTTAATGATTTTCAAAAATATTCTAGGGAAAGTAATTGAAACAATGTTGAATTTTTTACTAGATTGAAAAATACCGTTGACAGCCATTTTCAAAATGTCCCGTAAAGACAAGTTGAGGACGGAAGATCATTAAAAGGAAAACAAAGTTTTCTGTGTTATTTTGATCAATCACTGATCGTGTACATTTTGCATTTTTGTGCATTCAAATTGAAAATTATTGGAACTTAAATTGTTTATTAAAAGTTTAATTGAATTAAGAAAATTTAAAACAAAAATGATAAATTTGTGGTTTTATTGTCTGTATTTGGAGTTAGCTCGGTATACTATAATATAGACTTTCCTTTTTTTCACATCCGAAAATGTACCGATACTTTCTATGACACATTGTCAATACAAGAATATAATATTTATTCTGAAATGAATTAAATTGGATATATTTACTATTTGATAAAATATACGATGTTATATTTTTATGCATTGTTCCGATATTTAATACATGAATATATGGCGATGCTTTTTGTATAAAGATTAATGGAAACTGTTATTTTATAGAAACATGAAATATACATTGGAAGATAACTTTTATAACATATAAGTATCATTAGAAGATCTTGGTACGTAAATTATTGACTTGATAAGTATATAACCTTAATTTATTTGATACATATATAATGAATATTTGTACATATATAATTCAATTTTTATTCCAGTAGGTATAATGTCTACAGTAAAACGAAATTTAAAGATTTGTTGTTTCTGTGGTCTTACAGAAGACAATGAGTTGGAGTTTGGGAAATTTTATGAATATCATGGTGTTGTTACACATTATTATTGCTTGGTAAGTATTAAAATTAAGGAGGACCACCATTTAGACATTCGAAAATTAGCTGTTTTTTAAGATTTTTGTTTAAATAAAAAGGATTTTCTGACATTACTATAACTTTGTCAAAATGTGAAATAAAAAGTGTACAAAGGTATAATAAAATCAGACAATCCTTTTTATTTGAAAAATAACCATAAAACGGGTAATTTTCGGACTTCTAAATGGTGTTCCTTCTTAAAATAATTCTTATTTTTAGTCATGCTCTATTTTTGTATAAGCATCAATAAAAACTTAACAAATATTTCTTATCTTTTAGTTATTATCCTCGAATATGGAACAAAAAGGTAGAGACAATGAAGGTATTTTAGGATTTTTATTAAGAGATATACATAAAGAATTGCGCAGAGGTAAAAGATTGGTAAGATGATGATACGTCTATTACATTATAATTTGTTTTCTTTTATGTTGTTCTTTCTTTTTTATAACAATTAAAGATTTATATTTACATTTTGGATTTATTTTTTAAGATATGCTCTTACTGTAAAAAAAATGGTGCCACATTAGGTTGTTGCAATGCAAAATGTAAACGAGTATTTCATTTTCCTTGTGGCTTAAGAGCTGGAACTCTTCATCAATTTTTTGGTGAATTTAGGTAATGTTTTTAATGAAGTATGCTTAAATATAATTTCAGCCTTTTGCTTTAGTTCATATAGATTTATATATTTGTTATGTGATTTATATATATTAGATGAATATATATATTCTTTGTATTAATTTAATATAAATTTTTTATATGAAAATTTTAGGTCGTATTGTGTAAATCATAGACCCAAACAGAAATTTAGCGCGTATGAAAAACAATTAATTCAGAAAAATATAGATGCAATATGTTATATTTGTTATGATAATGTAAACATTAAGAATTTAATTGAAGTATTATGGGCACCTTGCTGTAAAAAAGATGCTTGGTTTCATAGAATATGTGTTCAGGTAAATTAATTATTTATTTACTCGAAATTATTTAATATATAATAATAGCTCTGTCAACATTAGAAATATAATAATTAAAAATAAATATTTCATATTAATCATTTATTTCTTTGTAGCAACTTGCAAATAATGCAGGTTATTTCTTTAAGTGTCCACTATGTAATAATAAAAAAGAATTCCAAAAAGCAATGCTAGAACAGGGTATTTTTATTCCAAGCCAGTAAGTTAAATTATCATAAATGAATGAATATATCTCTAGATGCATATATAAAAAGGTTAATGCTGAGATTCAATTTTAATTTAGAATAAATAATTATTCATTTAAAAGTTAAATATATAATAATAATATAATATGATATTGTGTGTTTTTTTACTAAATTTTCAACAATATTATATATTTTTTTATTTCATAGGGATGCATCTTGGGAGCTTGAACCAAATGCATTTCATGAACTTTTATATAGACACAACCGTTGTGATGCTGTGACATGTTTGTGTCCAAAAGGCAGAAACCACACGAGCATAAATGCGTAAGTAGTTAATACATTTTAGTTGCAAAATTATGTTTGCTACTCTTGCTTTTATTTGAAATTATGTTATAATATTATACGTTAAAATGATGTATGTTATTTTACTAGAAAATGGGAATTAACATTATGTCGAACATGTGGTTCTCAAGGAATTCATATGGCATGCGGTCAACTAAAATGGGCCAATCCTATTTGGAACTGTGATGAATGTATATCTATATTAGGTGATATCATTATTATTTTCCTTAGCTACAAATTTTGATAAGAAGTTTATTATATTATTTTAATTTATTCTAACTTTTTTATTTTACAGATAAAGTAAATCACTCGCCAAAGAAAGTAACAGAAACTATAAAGTATGTATTTTCATAGTCATTATCAGATTTAAAGAATTTATAATAATATTCTTCATTTTTTGTCTTTTGATGTAATTAATAGTTTTTATAACTTGTCTTTTTTAGTATTACTTATCGTGACATGGACATAGATACCAGCGATTCAGAAATTTCTGTGGGTGATTCACAAAATAAGGATGATCTTTCTATGGTGTCATATCCATCTACATGTGTAACACCTCAAACCTTTGAACAAAAACTAACTAACATTTCAACAAAGTATGTACATGTAGATTTGCACAAATTTATACACCCATATTCTTGTACATTTATAATTGATGATACATTTTTTTTTTATGTCTTTTAGGATTATATCTGAAAATAGCTGTAGTAGTTCTAATCAAGATATGTTTACAATATCACCAGTAAATTTACCAGAGAAAAGTACAAATATTGTTACTTTAAATCGATCAGAAAATAAAAGTATATCACTAATTAATCAAAGTAAAACTATAATACAAACAGATCAAGAAAAAGGACAAGCGGATTCAGAAGAAACTGCTAACAGATTATTAACAGATGAAAAACAAAGTATATTAGAAAAAAGTCAAGGCGAAAACTTACAAAGTAAAGAATTATCGATTTCTTGGAATAACAAGATTGATTTGATCATGATTGATAGTGATGATGATGATATTGAAGTGAGTAATTTAATCAATTAATTAACTAGTTTTATTTAATTGTAGGAGATTAATTTACAATTTATTCATATTATATAGATTATAAGTAATTCAAAAGGATTAAAAATTGAAGATCAAACTTTGATGAAGATGGATCTTCCTAATTGTGATATAAATACAAAAAATAATAATTCAGATCAATTAATAGATATTTCATGTAGTTCATCAGATATTCCTAAAAAATGTAATAATCAAATGAAAACAAAAAGAAAAACTTCAAATAACTTAAAAGCAAGAAAAGATTATGAAATTTTAACTATAAATAATGTAAAAGATAATATACTTTCAGAAAATGAAAATCATAAGAACTTTGATAACTCACCTGTTATGAACATCAAAATTACTAATGTAACATCTTTATCACCTGCAGTGTTTGCGAGTGTACCTAATCTGGAAAGTTTTGATAATCATAAATTATTACAATTAAATACTAGTCCTTCAATGAGTTTAAATAATTCTGAAAATTTACAAACTGGAAATACAAAACTATCATCTTCGGAATATCAATCTAATGAGACAAAAGCAAGCTCAAAGAGAAAACTAGAAACAAATATATGTGTAATTGGTACTCATACAAATGGAATAAAATCTGTGACTATAACTGAACCTAAAAAAATAAGAACAAATAATTTAGAAGAAAATATGAAAGCTTCATGTAGTGCTACTACTTATAATGAAGTTAAGCAGCAAATTGCTAACCAGATTAATATGAAACCATCACAAAAATACGTTAACGATAGAAGTTATCACTTGGATTTGGAAATTCTTGAATCAAGTAATTATAAAAAAAATAAAATTTCTTGCCAAAGTAACACTACAGATATATTTTCTCATACGCTAGAATTATCAAATCATAATATAGCAGAAAGCCAAATTAAAAGTGCTCCGTCATGGGCTCCTGATGAATCTACTAGTAAAGATGTCATTATTACTCATATTCGAAATAATAGTACACATCAGTCATTGAATACAGAACAAAATTTCACTAAAAAAAAAACGATGTCATCTAAAAATTCGAATAGTTTTGAAATTAAAAACGAAATACCATCTACTTTGAAGCAGGTGAGTAATGTAATATACTTGTATGTAAATATGATTTTAAAGAAAGTATCATAATGATCTGGATGCGTAATTCTATAATAATCATATAAGTATAGAAAGTTTAAATTAATAAGTAGTTATTAAAAAATATTTTTAACATATTTGTGTTTGTATTTTTACCCGCACTAATTAAACTTATTTTATTGTAATTGTCATTTTATGTTAATATCATATTTAATAAATGCTACTATTGATAAATGTAATGGAAAATAGAAATATTATGGTGCGGGTAGTAAATTTTATCACATTGATTCCCTCATACCTCCTCTCCAGTGTATGTCTTGGGGTTCTAACAGTTTGACGGGGATGCAGGCACCAGTTTTACCAACGAGTCAACAGACGGTCGTATCCGAAGAAAAGACAACCGAATTAATCCAAAAAGAATATCAGTTAAAAAAAAAGACTTATTACAGTGTACTGATTCCAGAGATAATACCTGCCAAAAATAGTGAGTTATTACATGAAAAATGATTTATAAATACGGAATTTATAACTTAATTAACGATTATTGTTTTTATAGTTTCAACTTCAATTCATGCAGCGTGTTTTCCGAAATCGCAAGTAACCCTAACGCCTGTGATAAACCTAGATTGATACCAGAATCCGTACAATTACAAGATCTTAAATTTAAAGTCCAAGATTCTAATAACGTACAGGTATATAAAACAATGTAAATATACTTCTATAAAAGTTCTTTGTAGTAAAAATTTTTTGTTTATTTCCATTAGATGATCTTATATGATACGTTTTCTGTGAATATTCATATGAATACTGTTATGAAGAATCATGTAAGAAATTCGGCCGCATCCATAGGAGTATCGAACATGAGACATTCATTATTGGAATTAAACGACGAATCAACGATTGATACTTGCAGTAGCACTCAAACTCTGTATAATTCTCATTTAATTAGCGATAAAGATATGTGTACTTCCGATACAATTGTAAGTAGAAACGCTATTAAACAAAGAGATGATGTAAAAGAAAATTTTTATCCAATTACACAAACATCTCTTGTCAATGTATTAAATAATTTCAGTATAGTAAACAAATTTGACGATAAATGTCAATCGATGACAAGATAAAAATCGCATGGAAAACAATATTGTGATATTTGATTTTTCTTCCACCATGCGAAATCAACGAATACAACGCATTTTGCGATATACATAAAAATATAACGAGATGATAAATCCGAAGGTATAACTTTGTTTCCTTTGGAGTGTTACTATCAAAAATAATTTGAGACGATGTGCGTATATTAAGTGGTACATTTAAAAATAAGAACGATGTACCTTCTGATATTGATTTCAAATTGAATATTATAAATGCAAATATTCACATTTCTCTACACCAAAATATTGATACTAATGTAACCCTCTTGCATCTTAAAGCGGAATATTCCGCGAGAATACGATGTTCACTTATCAACGTCTTTAGAGCTCGGATGTAAATAGGTTAATTACATTAATGATATACTTTATGTGTCTATAACATTCTTTAAAAGCGATTATATTGTTGATTATTATGCACATAATAATGATTAAAATATAATAAAATTAGGCATTAGATCTGTCAATACTAATGACTTATTTAATATATTTAAGGAATATCTTGAAAAATGCACTGATAAAATAAGATATGATCAATTTTGTCTTTGGCCTAATATTCTTCAAAAGCCCTAGACAGACCTCCGAATAAAGGTACGTATAGAAAATAAAGAGAATAATTAATCTGAGCTAGTATTACGGTCTACAAAATCTTCAAAAAAATTAAGACAGATTTATTTCTCTAATATAGTTATACATATGAAATTTAAATAAAAAGTACAAATTTTTTGTAAAATCGATGTTACATAATCATTAAAATACATATATAAAAGTAAATATTTAGAAATGATAGATACATTAATTACTACAAGATGAGCAAATAACATTTTGTTCATTGTTTACTATGTATATATTATTTCTATCTTTTTCTATGTTTTCTAATTCTACGAAATTTATTTTCTCTATGAATTCGTATTTGTTCTCAGACTCAACATTTGTTTCGAACTCGTAGGTGTTAATAAAATTGATGGTAATCCTTCGAGAAGAATCCGGATTTAAAGTGAAAGATTTCTTGAATAAGACATGTCGAGTTCATGAAGAAAAAGCTGTAATCGTAAGAATTGTTCCGGCTGCGTCTCGAGAATGAAATTACTTGTAATAAATAACGTTAAGTTTAAATCGCACGTAATACGTTAACAACGAACGGTGGGGAGAGACTATAAAGCTAGGGTTGCGAATGATTTTGTTTCAGTTGCGAATGTTCCCCGATGGAATCGAGTGTTCAAAATATTACGTGCGTTCTATTGATCTTTGCTATCTTAGGATGTTTCATTATAAGAATTGAAGGGGACTTGGATCATACCGCTTTTGGTATTATGATTCATTAAATTAATTGATACTACAGTTAAGCAAAATTATATTAATTATACAAAATATAATAGTAAACAAAGAAAACAAACAAATTTATATGAAAAATCGTTTCTTTTAACAATGTTATGTAAAATTAGGTTTTTTTATTATGTATTATATCCACTCTGTTACGTACATATATATAAATATTTGATAAAACAAATAATTAAATTATAATTATTTTAATTATTGTACAAATATTAAAATAGATCCTGTCTTCCTCTCATTAAAATATTACATGTATTGCAAAATAGAGCACTGATATTTATTTAAATACCAATAACTGTTATACTATGCAAACATTAAAATAATTGGCAAACGTGTTCTAAAAGAAAAATATAAAATGTTATATATTTATGTATTAATAAAACACACGAATAAACTCTAGAACTGTGGCGTATATTCAGTTGTATTATTATTTATCTGCTGTTATGTTGCTTATAAAAAGACAATTTTTTTCAGATCTTAAATTGAGGGCTCTTTTTAAAGTTATTAAATATATACACGAACGACCGCAACAGATGACGATCGGTACTATTTATGCAATCACTTTAACAGAAGGTGAGAATATTTCTATTTATATATAAAAAAACGAAACTTATGTCAATATTGTTATTAATATTTATACTTATATCAAAATTGTCAATATATACATATACATTTTTTCGGAACAGTCTCTCTATTAAAAACAATATTGCATAAAAATACTCGTTACCTTGGCAAAACATATTCTCACGATTTGAAAAAATTATTCAAATTTTCTTACAATACGCGAAAACTTTTAACAAACGTAATTATTCCAATAAATGAAGAAATGAAAGTGCGTAAGTATTTTGCTACTTTGTTTATCTTACATTAATCTATCAATATATTTTGCACGTTGATTTATACTTTATGAAAATATTAATAATTAGTAAAAAAAGTATTAAACGATCCGCAAATTTGGATGCGAGAAATACCTTGGAAAAATGAAACTATAAGTGCGATGTTACCGCTTCCATCTCAACGATTATCATATGCAAATGGTGAAGATATAATAATGAAAGGAAGACCTAATGAATATGAAAGTGATTTTTGTCTCGTTGAAATTGTTAAACAAAACTTTGATAATAAATGCTTGATACCTTACAAATGCATACAGATGATAATGAAAAAAGATAATCCAAGAGGATATCCTCTTACGCATAGATTACTTATTATACAAACTTTAAGGGCAGTAAGTTTATAAATAAATCTAATTGTTTAAATATTTTATTGAGGAAAAGAATTTACAGTAATATTATAAGTTTAAATAACATAATTGTAGATGCGATGTAAGGAAAATCGAATGATACCGTATTTGAAAATGTTACCTATCTATTGTTCACATATTCTTCGAGATATGATTGATATTGAAACGATTGGATTTCCTTATAACACACGAGATCTGTTAATGGAACAAGGTAAATGATATTTATTTCTAATCGTATCATTTTGTAAATATATTTTTGTGTATTATTCGAATTATAGTTGTTTTATGCGGATCGGAAGGATATTTGGAATTCATGGATAAACATTACGAGAATTTAATTTTAAGCTGGTCTCATCCTAGTGGTTGTTACAGTGCATTTGGGTATGCAAGTATATATATGTATATACACAGGGTGTCCCAAAATTAACTTTATCATGAAGAGAAAAGAAAAAATAGAGAAAAAAAATCAATATTGGTTTTTTAATAGAATTACAATATTTTTATTTTCATTTCAAAATATAAATCTTCAATATTTGCTAAGAAAAAAAATGTATAATTTTTCAGTTCGATAAAGTGATTCTTGAAACACTTATTGTTAGTATATTCTTTTGAATTATAATTTATTAAGAGAAAAAGGGAGAGAGAAAGAGATAAATAAACAGTTTTGGATTTTTCTTATTTTGTAACAGTTACGGAGAGCTTATACCGAAAAGTAATATGAATACCGATTTTGGATGCGATAGTCATGCTACGGGTCTTGGAGCTGCAAGTTTAGCATTATTTATTCGCAAAGATGTAGAAACTGTATTTCAATGAATATTAATTAAATTTCCATTTTTATGTAATACGTACATACCGTATACATATATTATACATGATTAAAAATAATGAATGATTGAATAAAAATATCATGAAAATGAACGATCATTTTTATGCGACCATTGTATTAATTTATATATATTGTTTTTATTATAAGATAATTTGAAATATTCTTTTCTTGTCTATCTTTTCAAAATTGAAATTTTCACGATTATTTTTAGTTCGCGGTTAAAAAACGTTGAACCAATCACGTTCTTCGTACTAATAATCGATTCATTGATTGGTTAATTATTAGCTATAAATCGATCTATCAAGTCACATGACTATTTTAACCAATAGAGATAATCGAATATTCAGCAACTCGTTTACCGCTACTAGTATCTTTGGAGAAGGTTATTGTTTTTACAATACTCCCACACTTTTATCCCTACTATGTATTGAAAGTGGTAGTTGCCCACCGTTGTCCACTGTTGCACATTGCAGTTGCGCTGAAAAAATGTCCAATGTTAACGAATTATTTCACTTCATACTTTAAAATATGGACAGTGAACAAATGAAAAACCCTTCTGCAACCAAAAAAACAAATGAAAATGCCGAAAAAAGGAAACACAAGACAGATATTGGATTGTCCACAACAAAGGCTTTGAGTATTTTACAAAATGATATTCTTTACGTATTACAAGATTACGAATGTAGAAAAGAAGACGAATACAAAACATACAAGTAATCGAATATTAAATGTTATTTTTTAATTGATTAATAATGTTCGATTGCATGTTATTTATTTAGGGTTAACTATACTACTGTTTGATCAAGTCTAGTTACAATTACAACTTCAAATTATTAAAAGATAGAAAAGGTTAACCTAGTGTCGATCTAAAGATTTGTTATGATTTGAACATGTCGAAAATTTGTGCAATTTTTAATTGATAATTCTATTTTAAAAATGCTTGTTTATATTATGATAAGTTATATAATTTGACATATAACATATATATATATATATATATTATGTTTAGAAAATACAAAGCTTGGCTGAAGGATGCATTACATCATCGTAGTCAATATACAACTCTTTGTTGGACATCAGCAATTGCATTGTTAATCAATGGGCTCACACTTATTATTATATATTTGTTTATAGGTGAAAAATGGTATGATGTGTATTATATAGGATAACTTTTATTTTACATGCTATGTATAGCGAATGTTGAAATATATAACCGTTCTATTATAGGTACTCAACACTGCCATATGAAGGATTGGTCATTTGTTGCTTAACAATTTTTAATTTTATTCTAGTTGTGTCGGATAACAAACTGCGTCATAATGAGATTCCTAGTAGAGTTTATGTTCTTCTTAAACAACTTGAAAGTATGTTGACGTATAGAATAATTTTTATGTATACTGTATTATATGTAACAGTAGAATTGTCGTTTTACAATTATTTCTTTTTTTGTTATTATATTTTAGTTGCACAAGCTAGATGTAAATGGAATATTGAAAATTATCCACATTTATGCACACCTTTATCACCATGTTTAACTTTACAATGGACATATCGTGATGGCCAAATAGTTAATTTACCTTGGGCATTATTAGTTGTTGGAGATATAATTGTAATGAAACCTGGTCAACAATCCCCTGGATATTGTATTCCATATGATGTGAGTTTTTTACGATTTAACTTTTGTTCAAAAAATGATGGCTTTACCATTTAGATACAATGCGTTTTATTTCTAGGATCCTGATGGATTATCTTTACATACAAGAGAAGTTTATAGTCCACCAGTCCATAGTGTTAATGAAATATTTTCTACACCACAGGCAAGAATACCTTTGAAAAATAAGTTATACGAATTGCAAGAAACTCCATATTTGACAAATCTTAGAATGGCTTTAGATCAGGCTCTTAATAGGCCTGTTACCTATCATAATCGCAAACGTTATCTTGTGATGGTTTGTTATATAGAACAATTGGCCTATCCCCTTATTTTAACTTTTATTGTGGCCATTAATTTGTTTCGCTACTTATATCTCTCAGAACGCTTTGGTATAGGAACATGGGTTGAAATGTTTTTACTACAACCAATAGCGGTAACTCTTCCATTGTTACCAGTAATTTTTCCTATTTGTTGGATTTTTCTAAACTGTATGGGAATGGCACGTTTCAAAGCACTATGCAAACTTTATCAGTCTTCAAAGAAACTTCAGGTTAGAATTTTTTTTTTTTTTTAATTAAATAAATGAACTGTAAATAAATTATTATTGTACGATTTGTTGATATTTTTAAGAAATCATTATAATCATGCAGATAATATATTTAGTTTGTAGATCCTTTTGAAGACGCAGATATTTCAACTCCGACTCATCCTGAAATAATTTATAATTGGTTTGAATTAAAGGAACATTTTATAAATATTCTTTGTGGAAAAGAGCATATGATGTCAAGATCTGCAAATATTCTTCATGTTTTGGGTTCTGTCACAGTATGTGGAATTATATATGTTTGATGTTAACACATCCATGGAAACAACGTGTATAGATAATTATGCATAGAAAAAGTCATTATATTTTGTAAAGTATAAAACATACAGGTCAGTTGAATATTAAAAATAAAATTGTGAAATGTTTGTCAGTAACTTTAGTACTTTAGTAGTCTTAATTTTCTCGGTAAAGGTCACTTGAAGGTTAACATATTGCACATCATTAGATTCGTTTTTTTATAAGCTATAAGAATATTGTAGTAAAAATATGCAGCTCCATTTAAAAAAAATACGATGACCTAAAATTTTGAAAAAAATGACCTTAAAAAAAATTCGTCCCATCACTATATCGCAACCCTGTATATATTATTCAATAAGTATAACTACTTTTGTCTATCCACAAATGTGTTAACATCATATTGTATGGTGATATTAAAATATCTTATAAAAGCTATGTATGTTAGGCATTATGTTGTGTAGATAAGAAAGGTATTCTTTCTTGGCCTAATCCTACTGCAGAAAAGGTTTTCTTCCTACATAATTCCAATTCTTTGTCAGCAGCCTCAAGGTAAATAATACAATTGAGTAATATACAGAAACAACATAAAAAAACATAAAATTTATTATATCATTCTTTTAGCAATGACAGTTTAGGACAAACAGAACCCATGCCCAATGAAGAAAATACCAAGGAAATTTCAAATAGGGAATGTTTTAGGCAACATGGTAGTATTTTCTAATAGTACAAATGTAAGTATCTTTATTATTGTTAAAAGAGAAATTGTATTTTTTTTGTAGAATTATCTCATTCTACAGCAGAAGTATTGGATCTTACGCATGATCGTGCCTTGCCATTTCGTTTACAATTTGACGATCATTCTTGGAGAAAACATTTAAATTCATTGAAACCTCTAGGCTTAGCAATTCTTTTGAATACATGTAATATGGAAACTCAAGAACATTATACTCAATTTTGCTGTCATGTTACTTGTGAAGCTCTTTATAATGAAAATCTTGTCCCGGTTACAAACAGACGGTATATTTTAAAGTTATATTATAATTTTTTAAGTCGAAAAGAATTCCATTAGAATCTTTCTTCTTGTATTATCAGATGTTTATGTGAATTGGCGAAGCAAATAGGGTTTCGAGATCAAGCAGAAAAAATATTTCAATTAGAAAAGCAGTTATCTACATTCAGACATGTGGTATGTACATTCTTTACAAAATAGTTCATTAAATATGTTTATTCTCTAACGTTTAATGAATAAATAATTGATTGATTTTAATTTAGCAAGCAGACAAAGTTAAAAGAGATATTAAATTTGCACGATCTCTGAGTATTGCAACCAAGTTAAAATTTCCATTTCCACATATGGTTGCTGTAGTTGTAAAAGAACGTAGCAGTGGTAGTCTACAATTGTTAACACAAGGTACTGCGGATATAATTCTAGACTCGTGCATTGAATTTTGGGATGGTCATGATCTTTGTCCGCTTTCTGCATCTGATAGGTATACTTATTATGATTAACTTTAATACAATAAGTTTACAATACAATTATACAACAATTATATCGGTATAAATATATTAATTACATATTACAGGAAAAAAGTACAAGATTTTTATCAAAGAACAAGTTTAACATCATATTGTACTGCATTTGCTTATAGACCATTAACTAAAAGCGTTAATAATAATATGCCAGAAATATATATAGAACTTCCTGCAGACAGTAAACATTTATATACTCCACATAGAAGTCCAACTCCCTTACCATGGGATTTTAGAAATGTTCTTGATCCTAGAATAAAAGGAATGCTTGGACAATTTCATTCCACAGGTAAAATTTGCAATTGATTTATTCAATGTAAGTTATTATGTTCTTTAAAATATTTATATACATTTTTATTATAGATTCATTATTGTGTAATGATAATAATGATGATGATGTAAATGATGTTGAAAGTTGTTTCGAACTTCAATGTAATCAAATATTTATTGGAATGGTGACTATGCAGTATCAAGCTCAGACTGACATGGTAAAATGTTATGCTTATAAACAATACTATGTCCATAAATTATATTTGTTTATTAATTGTGTACTTACCAGGTTCAGTTAATTGAACAGCTAGAAAGAGCCTGCATAAGATTTGTTCATTTCAGTAAAGAGAATGAATTACGTTCTCGTGTATTCTCGGAAAAAATGGGACTTGAGAGTGGATGGAATTGTCACATATCATTGCTCACAGAGAGGACTAGGTTAATCTTTAATTTATATATTTATTATTTCCAATTTTTTGGCTGTTTTTTTTTTTAAGAAAATGGGAAAGAAACCTTTTTTTGTAAATAATTTTCAAAAGATTCTAGGCATGTTCTTTTGTCCATTTTCATATATACATATATATAAACATTTATATATTTTTATATATGTGTTTTTATTATTAATATTATTTATTAAATTATTTTTTAATGAAGTTTAACAATGGTTGGTGTAATGCCATTAACAATTCGCTAACTGGTTACAGTTGCAAGTCACCTCTCAAGTGGCTTTATTAAGTGAAAGTTATTTAATTTATTAATTA